TGAAAGTTAAAATAAATAAAAACCCCAGGTGGTCAAGTGCAGTCTGATAACTGTGATTCAGATTCAGATATCTAAATAGAACCCTTGTTAATATCATTTAGATTCGACCTACATAGTACATTCAATCTCACGTGCATGGAACGAGCACGACATTCACCACGCGTTCGCAAGCCAACTGTGTTATAGACACACACACAAAATATAGGCCCATCTCCACACAAGCGGCGCGTCGCGGCGCGGCACCGTTCACCCTTGCCTTCTAATTTATGATATCTTCTGGCGCAGTCTCCACTGACACTGCACGGCGCAGGCCTGGTTTCACGGCGACGGCGAAAGTCAAATGAGTTTGACTTTTGCCGGCTGACGTGACGGCGAAAAGACAATTGAACCAATCAACGCGATTGTTTTTTATCACGTGTTCTGGAATCGATATTGAAGCAAGGATTTTGTTGCAAAGTGTGACTCAAGGAAGGTCACATTTGGTTTCTAACACTGTTCTCTGTTTTCACGTGTCAGACATTTTTTGCATTATTATTTTCATCATTATTATTTTCCTCTTCATCTTAATCATGCTAACTGTGTCACACAGTTAGCACAGTCTGTGCATGTGTAGCTTTACTACTAGCTTAAACTAATTAATAAAACATTTTGGTATTTTATGTATACATGATTCTAGTAATGTCATTCATGACATCACAATTATGCAACACTTCCATCAACACGCTGAAATACGTGATATTGAACCAATACGTGATATTCGCTCGCCCGCAGATCACGTTGCTATTGGCTTGCTTGTGACCCCCCCAACTTTCAACACGTGGTTGCGCCCTTGGTTGCAGATGAGCATTTGACCGGCATTTCCAGGTGATTATAGGCGAAGTAGAGTAGAGAAACATTAAGACTTTGGTAGTAAATACATTTCGTGTTTATTTACTTTTTTATTTTTATTGAGACGTTCCAAGTTCCTGTGTGCGTTACCATGTAAAATATACTATACAGACGCGTACATACGTAGGGTAAGCTTAGACCCATAAACCCATAGTAAACAACAGCTGAACTTATAGCATTATCATTAGCATTAACATAGCAACAAAAACAGAATGATTGCATGGCTTGCCCCGAGACAAAGAATTTCTCAATCTTTAGAATTTGCTTACAAAGAAACCCAATTAAAAGCTGCTTACAGTGGCGTAGTTAGGGGGGGGGCAAAGAGGGCCATGGCCCCCCTGTTGGCTGTTGATCCGAAAGTATAAAAAAATAGAAAAAATAAGAATTGTTCTACTAAAATGAGAATTGTCGTAGTCAGAATGAAGGCAATGAATGAATGTTCTCAAAAGTGCCTCATCTCCTGCGATCTACATTTTTAAAAATGTTCTGGGGAGTACCCCATACCCCCCGCCTGTTTTCACCCCCTCCTTCGAATCCTGGATCCGCCACTGAACAGTTACATAATATATTAGGACCAGAGAACAACGAACAAAAATGTCGCCTTTTTGCATGGCGTCCAAAACAAAGATTGCATAGCTGAGAGGTGGGGAGCGTAGGCCGTAGGGTGTGGAGAGGGACGCGGAGGAACCATTAAAATATAAAGTCATCCACTATTTTGCGCAGTTTGCTGTTTTTACCCCCCCCCCCTTTTAGAAATCCTGGCTACGCCACTGGCGGCTTATCAACAGTGCTATGCCTACAAGCCACTAAACTGGTCTAAAGGGTTAACTGTAGACGCTAATGCTTTAAAATACTTACAGGACTTTGTGGACCGTTTTATTTTCGGGAAATTAGATTGATTTAAGGAAATGTTTTTCACCTTGAATCCTCCATTCACGTCTTTTTCGTTGACGTAAAATGATGAATGTCACACACCAACACGTCAGGTTTGTGAAACGGCAGACTTTTGTCTAAGCATAAAAGTCGGTAGACTCCTCGTTAAAAATTAATTCACATTATTTTCTTCTTCAAAGTCTTACCTATATACGGAATTAAGCGGATACCGAGATAATACGCGTTCTTTTCCATTCGTCATTGCTACAACTACGCTATCATTGCTACAATCTCTCTCATTCTAATTTCTAACAATCATATTCGATATTATTTATTCTATTCCGCGAAGGTCAGCGCTAGCGTTATATGTATATATACACACATAAAACAATATACCTAGGTTATTATGCGTGTACTGTACATGGTTAGCACTCGTTATTCTCCGTATAGCTGCAGATACAATGTCCAGCGTAATTTTATAGCCGGGTGTGGAGAATTTCAGCTCTGCGAGTTTGCTATAGACCGAAAGAGTGAGACAGAGCAAGAGAGAGAGAGAGAGAGAGAGAGAGAGAGAGAGAGAGAGAGAGAGAGAGAGAGAAAGAGAGAGAGAGAGAAATGGTGAGAGAAAGCAGCTAGGAGAGACAGGGCGGTAGAGAGAGGGAGAGGGAGCAGGCGAGAGAGAGAGAGAGAGAGAGAGAGAGAGAAAAAAAAGAGAGAGAACACGCGCAAGCGAGAGAGAGGGAGAGAGATGTGATTGCTAAAAATCACGTCTGAATCAACAAAAACGGAAGACATATGATAAGATAAGATGAAATGATATTCGGTAAAATATCATTAGACATATATATGATTCATTGATATATGATATTGATATTATTCATGATTCCTGACTCCTCTCCTATCGCGATTCCTCTCTCTCTCTCTCTGTCTCTATCTTTCTTTCTCACGTGCATGCGCACGCGCGCGCGCTCTCTCTCCCGATCGCAATGTTACCCAATTTAATTCAAAGCTATATAATTCACTTATAATATATGAAGTAGATAATGTGATGATGTGATACATTGTGTCATTCTCTGTACTGGTGTGCTTATCGTTCCTTTCTATATGTAGATTAAGAGAAAAATGCATAGATGTAAATTAACATATGCAGATTAGCGTGTTCGATTTGTAATTGCATTAGAGATTAATGCTATATATGTGGCCAGTATATTGCAAGTAAATCACACGCTAAACCCCTTTCATCGATTGATAGCTGCTGTTAAATAAGTTGTTTTAGATGCAGACCGGAACGTTTCTTACTGCAATAACTAGTTAATTACGAAAATTATTGATTAAATCCGATCGACGCTCTGCCATGACATTATTCTTCATTGTCGTTTAGTCATTAATATTTATTTGTACTTCGCACTGAGCTTTGATATAAGTCGAATTGAAAAAAACTAACTCATGATAAACGTGGCAGAACATATCAAGGAGATAATTCATTCAAATAAACACACAATAATCAGTTGGTAGGTTTATTAATATTAACTGTGTATTCATATCTAAATTTCACCAGGTTTTACAAACGGATTTTATTATTTAGTCTAGGATGCAAGTATGACGGATCGAAAATCGACATGCACGTTTAACAAACACAAGCCTGATTGATGAATATCGTTCGCAAAGATGAGAACAATCCATACCACGAGTAGTAAACGCGTCTTCCACGGCTGAAACCCGTACACATCGTCTATATGAAACAACTACAACCAGAAGATACGCCGGATTACGAGATGGAAGGGTTTAGCACTTCATTTTGTTCACATAGGCTACACGTGACGGGTGATCCTCAGCTGGCCTGTTGAAGGGTGTCCACACAGGTACATTAATGAAGAATCGACTCGCCCTAATGTACTCCTATAAGCAAACGAAAACACGTTAGAAAACGCAGTAGTTATGACATGCTAGTTATGATGATAGATGATTATCGGGCGCATGAGGCAGCAATTAGGTTACATGACCGCGAATGCGAACGTTATGTTAACAAACAGAGAATGCGAATGAACGGGTGGGAATAAAGCCAGATTAAATTTTTTTCACTTATTTTTGGTATACAGAAATCGAGGTAAGAGACACCAGTCTTTCCTCACACATGCCGCCACTTACACCTATACCAGGAATATGAGAAGATCAATAACAATTAGAGGAAGATGAAGATCGAACAAGAAGAAAAATGAGAAAAAAAAACAAGAAGAAGAAAGAGAACAAGAGAAAGAGGAGAAGAATGAGGAGAGGCGAAAGAGGAGGAGGAGGAAGGGGAAGAAGAGGAGATAAAAGAGGAGGCAGAGAAGAGGAGGAGGAGGAGGTGGAGGGGAAGCACGAGGAGAAAACGTACCTTAGAGTCCAGGTAGAATCTGTGGTATAAGCCGGCAGGTAGGATGAGCAAGTCACCTTTCGTCACGTGAATCCTCACCCACTTGTCACCGCGGTCTCGCACGTCGAAGTAGCCGCTGCCGTCGCGGATATAACGAATCTCGTCTGCTCCGTGGAGATGCTCCGTGAAAAACGACTTTATCTGCCGCAGGCAAACGATCGTAGTGGATATACGCACGCATGCACGCACACAGAGTTTTTTTGAGATACCAAACACAAAGACAGCAGAAGTTGAAGTTACCATACGCATATAATATATTACCAGGAGTGTATAATATAGAGATTATATTATACACTACTGATATTATACACTCCTGTCTCTATATTATACACTCCTGATATTATACGTATCGCACGCGAGATGTTTGACAAATGACATTACCGTTGCATCATACTTGTCTCCAAGCGATTCCTTCGTGATAGTAATGTCATCCCCGTAAACGAATCCTCTTTCTTTCTTGATATCCTCTAGTTTCTTTTGATCTTCGGCGCTATCGGGGTCAAGCTATATACAATCAAGTGACGTCAGGTCAGTCAGTTTCATGTCAACGTTTTAATGATCACGTATATGTTTTTTGGGCTGCATAATACTCCTTAAGTTTGTACGCCTTAAGAGTTCGTGCATTTAATGGGAAAAATTTTTAACGAAAAATAATATTCTAGGACTTCCTATATATTTTAAGGAAAGTTCCTGGGATAAATAATCATTTACCAGTATAAATTTAACATGAAGAAAAAATGAAATTTAATTTTAAATGTTTTGACCGAATTTATCAGTAATAATATTGTGATATCTAGTTAGTAATGTAGTGTATATTATCATTATTGATTTTCCAATATTTTATTCGCATCGATCGTACATACCATATAGTATGATGCACCAAGCTTAACTAAATCCGCCAGTTGCACGGGTTGAGGTGGACTGAGCTGGTGTTCACATTTTGGGTCCTGCCCCTCAGTTAAGTTTGACATGTACCAAACCCGCACCATGATGCTGAATAAATCCGAAGATACCTACAAGGAAAGATTACACACGCGTGTCCACTTTGTTATAACTGCTATAATTAACACAATTAAAGCTTCGCTGTAATAGAAGTGCAGTAATTCGTAAAACATCGGCTGACTAGTGTGATGGGGATGATGATGTTGATGATGATGCTGCTGCTGCTGCTGATGATGATGATGATGATGTGTGTGTGTGTGTGTGTGTGTGTGTGTGTGTGTATTATTGTATAGTATTTTTAGACATGAACAAATGGTTTTTGAGTAACTTTTCGCCACATAACTGACTTATGGACCCGATTTCTCGAGGAAAATCAGTTTAAATCTTTAAATATCTATTTAGCTGTCATTGATGAGCGTAAAATGATTTAAACTAATTTAGTGACGGTCGCTTTGATTCGGTTTAAACGGTTAATTTTATGAAAATAAATAAAAACTTTACACAATGCCAAATTAATTATTTCTCACTTTACTCTCACAATACTGAGGGAATCATACATAGACGTGAACTGAATAATTATCTTGTAATGAATGAGTCTTAATGAATTGCTGGTAACTAGTTTTTATTGTAATTAGAAGCGTAGACAATTAGAGATGTTCCAAAACTTTTTTTATTTCGTACTAATCTGGCAGTGTGAAAATTCTCACTTCTGACACTCATGTTAGTGCGGAGTCTCGTAATCGGACCATTTCGAGGATTGATTGTTACATTGTAACAAGTTGAACGTGTTCTACACAGACCTCGTGTTGTTTGTTCGTTAGTACTGTCTGCGATCTGATGACTTTTGCTTTAATTATGGAGAATTTGTCATCCGAACTGGACTTGTGAATGTACATGTTTGTGTCCACTCACTAAAATAATAATATGGCTACTGCACTGCGAATGAATGTGCGCTGCACAATGCTGCGAAGCAATCGATAATGAGGATCGACGAAACTTTTCATTGTTGCTAATTTTGTTAATTTGTCTTAACCACAACCGCCTTGTCTGACTTTAATAGAAACTGTTCAGTGGCGCTCCCTTCAAGTGGCGCCCAGGGCACGTGCCATACCTGCCATACCTTAGTTACGCCACTGCACGTGCACGAGTTTACGTATATAATATTGGCGAGACGCGCTGACCTACCCCATCAATACACGGATCATCGTGTTACTAGTGATGCTTCATAAAATCCCCTTTAATGACATCGTATATTCGGATGCGAGTTAAAAAAAATTCGTCTGGAAAATTTCGCTTTCAGAGCTGAATACAGAAGGCATGTGTGTGTGTGTGTGTGTGTGTGTGTGTGTGTGTGTGTGTGCGTGCGTGCGTACGTGCGTGCGTGCGTGTGAATGAATTGAAATAGAAATAATTAATACTAAATTAAATATGCATGTCGGAAACCGTCGGATCGCAATCGTATTTCTCTAAAAAAATGTGTCCACACTCCTGCCAACAGCCTCCACTCTGCATTATATCCGGAATTCCGGATCTACCCCGTTTTCTAGCGTACTGCATACTTGCGCGTGCAAGAACTGCGACGAGTTACATGTATTATTATAATTGCTGTTTTTGTTGTTGTTGCTGCTGCTGTTGCTATTATTATTATTAATATTATTATTATTATTGTTATTATTATTTTAGTGGCACTTATTGCGCAGGCGAGTAACGGAAAGGTAAAGAAATTCGCCAAGCCTAAATAGTGCAAAAGAGAAGTTGATAATAAAGTACAAAAGAGTAAACATTAGTACCATTCAATCTATACTATAATTTGGCTAATCTTGTGTGTGTGTGTGTGTGTGTGTGTGTGTGTGTGTGTGTGTGTGTGTGTGTGTGTGTGTGTGTGTGTGTGTGTGTGTTGTT